AGGTAACATTATCAATGCCAAATGATAATATTATCTAGTTTGGATAATAAAATGTTTGCAAGAAAACCTCCAAGCTCAAAGAGCACCAAGGATCCCTCATTTTAACCCTCAGCTACAAATATCCTCCTTTATTGGTAGCACACATATCTAAAGGACTGATGGGAGAAAAAGTAAGGGTGACAGATGCATTTATGTATTCAAAATCCCATGCCTTTTTTTTTCAGAGTGTGTTGCACTCTGAAATGCATGCAAATGAGGAAAGATACTTTGATTACCGTTACTCTCTGTTTCTACTCCTGATGACCCAAGTGATACTGTGGCCACCCTTTCACGGTGCCTGGAGGCTGTGGGGGACAATAGGCTTCAATTGAACCTTGGTAACACTGAATGGCTTTGGGTACGTGGGACTCCAGGATCTGGGTCTTTGACCTCTTTGATTCTGATGGGGTGGCATTGTCCCAGAAAGACCCAGTCTGCAATGCAGGAGTTTTCCTGGACTCATGACTTTTGTTTGAAGTACAGGTGGCAGTTGGGGCTAGGAGAGCCTTTGAACAACTTTGTGTTGTGTGCCGGTTGTGGCCTTTCCTGGACCAGGATTCCCTGCACTCAGTTGTTCAGTCCTCAGCCATGTCATGACTGGACTACTGTAATACGCTGTACATGGGGCTACTATTGAAGAACATTCAAAAGCTGGTGTAGAGTGCAATAGCACAGGTAGTTTTTTTGGGGGGGGCAAGAATGGCCCCTGTAATGCCACTGCTCCATAAGCTGCATTGGTTACCAGTCTGCTTCCGGATGTAATTCAAGGTGTTGATGATCATGGCATGTGTCCTACTTGTGGAACTGTCTCACCCCACTGGGATTGGCCCGTATGACTTGTGCTGGTAGAGGAGGCATGCTGCGGACCACATCAGCCCAATTATTCCAGCTGGTGGGATCCAGGAGGAGTCTTCTCTGCCCTTTCTCCTGTCCTCTGGAACATCCTACCCCTCAATGTGAAGTTGGCCCCAAATCTCCTATCTTTTCTTAAGGGTCTAAAGACATGGCTGTGCTAATCGGCTTTGGGACCTCAGTAGGGGAAACACTGCAATGGAAATGGTTGATTGATTAATAACAGATCTCTACTCCCTTCCCCCATAATTAGCCTAACATCAATACTAGGGAAGATACTGGAAAAGATAATAAAAAAACAGATTGCAAATATCTAGAAACAAATAAAGTTATAACTAAAAAACAGCATAGATTTGTTAAAAAATAGATCATGCCAAACCAATCTTATTTCATTCTTTGCCAAAATGACTAAATTAGTAGACCAGTGAAATGCTGTGGACATAGTATACTTAGATTTCAGCAAGGCATTTGACAAAGTAAATCACAACCTACTTCTTGGTAAGCTAGAAAAATATGGGATGAACAACATTACCACCAGATGGATTTGTAACTGGCTGACAAACCGTACTTAATGAGTTGTCCTTAATGGTACTATATCTACATGGAGGGAAATAAGCAGTGGGGTACCACAAGGTTCCGTCTTAGGCCTAGTACCCTTCAATATCTTCATAAATGACTTATATGAAAAAACAGAAGGGGAACTCATCAAATTTGCAGATGACACTAAGCTGGAAGGAATAGCCAACATCCCAGAAGTCAAGTTCAGGATCCAAAAAGATCTTGACAGACTTGAACAATGGGCCCTGTCCAACAAAATGAAATTTAATGTGGAGAAAAGCAAGGTTTTACATATAGGCAGGAAAAATCTGTACAATTATAGATTAGGCAAAATCTGGCTTAAAAACAGTAACTCGAGAGGGACCTGGATGATCAATTAAATATGAGCCAGCAGTGAGAGGCAGCAGCCAAAAAAACTAATACCATTTTTGATTGCATAAACAGAGGCATAGAAACAAAATCACATGAAATATTACTACCACTTTATAAAGTCTTAGTAAGGCCACACCTGGAATACTGCATTCAGTTTTGGTCACCACATTACAAAAAAGATGTTGAGACTTTAGAAAAAGTGCGAAGAAAACCATCTAAGAAGATTAAAGGCCTGGAGACAAAAACATATGAAGAAGGATTGCAGGATTTGGGTTTGGCTAGTCTAAAAAAAAGAAGGACTAGGGGGGACATGATAGCAGTATTCCAGTATTTGAGAGGTTGTCACAAAGAGGAAGGATCAACTTATTTTCCAAAGTACCAGAGGGCAGGACAAGCAACAATGGATGGAAACTAATCAAGGAGAGAAGCAACCCAGCATTAAAGAGAAACTTCCTAACAATGAGAACAATTACCAATGAGAACAATTACCATCTTGCCATTGGAAATTGTGGGTGCTCCATCACTGGAGGTTTTTAAGAAGAGACTGGACAGTCACTTGTCTAAAATGGTATAGGTTTCCTGCTTAAGCAGGGGTTGGAACAGAGGACCTTGAAGGTCCCTTCCAGCTCTATTCTGATTCTGATTCTAATTATCTATATATGTACAGTTTTTAAGAATGAAATATGTATGTAATACTACATGCCACCTCATATATTAATTTAATTAACATATTCTTTTATGATTGTTATTTTTCTAAGAGGGATTGAAAATTTCCTATCAAATGCAACTAGAACCTGAGCATCTTGTAATTTAATTAGTTGTCCTGAAATCACGTTTCCCCCAAAGCAGATTTACAAGTGGTTGAAGAAGCTTCTTGGATGAGAAGTGAAAAGTCTTCAAAGAAAAACAAGAAAGTCCAGTTGCCTCTTGAAAAAGCATCTTTGGGACAACTATGACCTGATGACTGAGAATCTCCATAGACAATCTTAAACAAGCTTTTTCTAACAAGGTGATTTATATACAGGCTGTAACTTGTAATATTTACTTCCCCAGATGTATCAAAGAAAACTACTGTATAGAAGCCAACTCTGTTCAGAATTTACAGCTTCCAGGAACAACTTTACTTACAAAAAGATTGGGAGCAACTATGAAGTTGCTGGTTTAAATCTCATGTTACTGATTCATACTTGTACCCAATGAGGAATTTAAGAAATGTCTTCTCTGTATTTTCTTATGTTAGGCTTCAATTCTTCTGAATTCAGCTCTGCCCTTTGTGCTAGTAAATTAAATGCCAAGCACTATTTTATCGGAATGCAATAAGCTCTAAAACAGATTTAAATGGATTTCTGTACTTTTAAAGAAACTGGGAGAATTCATTTATCATCAGATGTTATCCAACAGTCATTCATAGGCAAAGCTTCCTTTTATGAAGGAAGGAAAGAAAAATGGGCACGTCACATATAATGTAATAATAATAAAAAGGAATTGGCAGCCTCAGACTATTGTACAACTTTACATTGCTCTATTATTTCATTTTACATCATATACCATACAGCTAAATATAAATTACTGTATTTAAAATCTGAGGAAAAAATGCAGACGAATTTTTGGGACATCTGACCAAGATCAAAATTACAATGATGCCTTAATTCGTTGTTAAAGAACAATGGTTATGCAAATGTTAGTTCGTATTATGAAACATCTGCTGATCAGCTCACTTATTAAATATGTCTGTAGATATATTTATAGATGATTAGTATTAATAAAATATTTATAACTATCTGTGCTTTCTGTTATAAATCTCCTCTGATTCCACATCTCTTCTGTATAAAACTTAGCAATTTTCAAGGAAAAAAATCATTATGCTTATTTCTGTGTAATGTAAGTATAAATTATATACGTAATTTATGATCACACCTAAATATTCTAAAAAAAAGCTATTGCAAGATTTAGAGCCTATGTAGATTTGTCATGTTATTGATTACTTTTAATTTAAACTAAATTTATACATAAGTGATTTCATGACCTCTGTAGATGCCATGCCCTAAATAAATAAATAAAAATGATTAGTTTGAATGTATAGGATACGAATATAAAATGTAGCAAAATAAATTCAGTTTAATTTTTTCAATGAACACACTTTGAAGTTTGCACATATTTTTTAAAAAAGAAAACAGTCTTGACTAAGCTAGGCTCCTTGTTGGGGGCTCACAAGTGTTTATTTTAGAATTGCAATGTATTTTGTTGGGTTCATTTTTAAAAAGAAAAAATATGTTTAACTTGATATGGATTTGTAATGAAATAATTACAGAGAACTAAACAGACATGACAGAAAATGCTCTCATATAAGTACTTCTTTCAGTAATTTATCAGGCAGTATGTAAACATAGCACATTTGTAAAATGTTAATTTAAAATTATAATTTAACTAGTATATATAATTTAAAGTTGGAAAATGTCCAGAAACAGTTATATAATTGACTGAGTTTGGGACATAAAAGGCCATAGAAATATATTATTTATCTTATTTTTTATCTTTTTAAATTTAAAGCAGTCGTTTTCTAATTGATTCATATGTGTTTAGATTGCTTTATTTTGTATGCCGCCCAGAGTCACTACCTGAAATGGACAGCGATACATATGTGATCAATTAACAAAAATAATACATAATAAATCATTGCAAATCAGAAGTTTAGCCCACTGTTTTTTAAAAACTGAAGAACCAACTCCTACTTCTAATATTGCACAACTGCCCGAATTAATCCTAGTCTTTTTCGACATGCTGCTTTTTTAATATTTTGCATTGCAAGCCCCTAACTCTTGTCTATTTGATTTGCTGATCAAGGATCATGGGAAATGCATTCCGTCTTATGCAGCCTCTTGCTTGCACATGCCTTTCGTTTGTCGAAGTCACTGAAACAGATGATAACAATAAATGTCATCTAGGAAATCCGCAAAAAAAAAAACCTGGGCGAGCATGCATGTAAAGGCGAGAGCGAAATGATTGACAGTTCAAACAGTCGGTTAAGGAAGAAAAGAAATATGAAGGAGCCAAACAGTCCCAAAGGCGGCAGACGCTCTTCTGGTAGAATCCAAAACAACCAATGAACGGCGGCGAAGAACTCCGGCGCGAGAGAAAGGGGAAGGTCTAACCTACAACGCGCGTTGTTTACTACAGGAGAAAACTCCTAGCAACCGAAGAGCTAACGTCCCCATGGCAACCAGCTCTAGCTATGCAACAGAAAGAGCGGTGGACTAGGCCGTATCTTCTTAGATTCTAACCATTACGGAGCGAACCGGCATCGGCTCAGTCTGGTAAGCAGCTGCGAAGAAGCGGGTGTGCTGTATATTCAACATATATTCAACATAATACTCTTTGGGCTGTATATTTCTTTTCTTGTTTTTAGCATCTTTCTGCAAGATTCTGGGATGGTCATAAGCCATGGGAGTAGCCTTGACTAGAGCAGCTCAGTGGACCACGGCTGGATCTGGAACCGGCACATTAGAAATTACTCCCCTGAACGAATCTCTTTTAAATGAAATTATCAAGTTTACAGAAACATTTAGTAGCAAGCATCCCCAGGAAGCAGCCTTTGTCTTTAAAGAACCACTTGAATGGCATACACAACTAGAACCATCTGCATTTGAGGCAGGCTATGAAGTCAGGTAAGACGGTGACCAGATCGCTCTCTCCAGAATATACAGTATAAGAATAAAATATATCTTCAAGGTACCTTTCTATAAGTGCAGATTTTGTTTTCCCCATTTCCTAATAAAAATACTAGGCTGTGATTTGGCTCTTCTTCCCATGTGATGTCTTAATAGATGTGCATAACTTTGCATCTTCAGATTTTCGGATTAGCCACCATTTTTATTTTATGAATTGTTTAAGATAATTTCAAGACATGTAAAAAATATAATCACAGGGATAGGGTGAAGTTCAACAAAGAGAATGCTTGATATAGTGACTAAAGTGCTGAGCTAGAAATCAGGAAATGGTGAGTTCTAGTTCTCCTATAGCACAGGTGTCAAACTCGCCATGTTACGTGATGTGTCGCAACATATTGTGACTCTTTTTGCATTTCTGGCAGCGGGGTGGGCACAGCTTCGGTATGATGAAACCAGTCTGCGGGCTGGCAGTTTGACACCCCTGTCCTATAGGCATGAAAGGTAACTGAATGACTTTGGGCCAATCACGCACTCTCAGTCCAATCGATCTTCCTTTCGGTTTCCCATTAACTTGGCTTGTGGGAAGCTGGTAGGGAAGGTCATAAATGGCAATCGCATGAACACAATGCATTGCAATGTTGTAACCATAAAGTGGACCCAGGCACCCTAATCGCAATTGTCACTGTGGAGACACTATGATTTAATTTGTGGACCAATCATGAGTCTCCCTCATTCAGCATCATTGTGATTTTGAACTCTTACTGAACGAATGGTCATAAGTCAAGTAAAAATAAAGTGATTTAAATCTAAAATCTAAAAAGAAATAAAATTTAAATTTGGCTAGATGTGCCTATGATGCATTTGAATGTACCAAGTATACATACTGAAGAGATCCTAAATTAAAAGAGACTTATTGCCTACAATGAACTGTCATAGAAGGATAGGCTATATTCTTTTGAAAAACTAATAGGTGCAGCGTAATTTCTAGATTCTGTATATCAATTAATGGGGTATTCAATGTTTTGGTTAATGAAGGTTGTAATGTTTTCTGTTCACAAATAATCATCATTCAAGGCTGTTGACATTGACAATAGTAAAAAATACAGAAATGCAAAACACAAATATGTAGCAAATTTAGTTTTATTATAAAATATAATAATGGATAATGTTCTCTTAGTTTAAGGATAAATAGTTTTATTGCATACCCTATTCTTAGCAAATGCTGGATAGCATTTAACATGATGAAAACAAATAAATAAAAACCTAGTATGTAAAAAATAATAAATTTTAAAAGTTAACAATAAACATGATGGGTATCCTTCAAAACTAAGCAAACTAAATTAAGGGCCAAACACACACTGGAATATGATTGTATTGATCTACTTACGAAATGTTAGCAAAATCAAGGTCAGACCTTGTTCTACAAAGTGGGAATAGCTACCAAAAAGAACTGTCAATCTTTGCCCCATGGACCACATGAGAAACATGGACCTATAACAGGCCTCTTTTTTTGTTTCTTTCCTACAACAGGAGAGAATTCCATTGTGGCAAGTTATTGCCTGATATATCCCATAATGTCTTTTAAAGATAATGATCAGTATTTTGAATTGGTCTCAGAAGCCAACTGGCAATTTATGTAGTGGCCTCAAATAGCCTGATGAGGTTGACCCCTCAGATGTATAGCTTCTGTATTTTATTCCATCTGTAGTTTCCGGGCTGCATTTTGGGGAAAATGTTTCAAATTCAAACATATATATTCCAATAAGTAAGTAGCTATTAAGGATTTTCTTCGTGAAGAAATATTTGGAGTGAGAATGTAAAGGCAAAGGTCAACTAACTTAGAATGTACTGTAAGGAAATGTTAGTTTCTCTGGAGTATATAAACTAAAGATGTTCAGATGTTGATCCTAGTTTAATTTGGTACAAAAATATTCTTTATTCTCTTCTCAATGTAATCCAAGCTATTAAGAAACTGCTCACAATATTTAATAAATTAATTCTGATAAATTAATAAAAGAATTTACGTTCAACCCTAACACTATTTTATTGGAAAGCAAGATCCTACTGTTAGATGGATTAAAAACAGTTTGAGAAAATGATTTACAAATGATCATTGAGAAAGAGGATCTGAATAAGATCTGGGTTTATATTTCAGTTTCCAAGAATTGGGTTTCACATCCTCTGGCCAAATTAGAAAAAAGTTAAATTAAAAAAATGCATAGAGCAGGGATATCAAACTGCCAGTCTGCAGGCCCGATGCATCATCGAGAAACCATGCCCACCCCATTGCCAGCAATGGCAAAAAAGTTCCGATACATTGTGCGATGTCATGTGACGTCGCGAGTTTGACATGTCTGGCACAGAGGATAGGAAACTGAAGAAGCTGGTATATATGGCTAAAAGGAAATCTATATTCTATTGGAATAACTGCAGTGAAAAACAAGCTATATCTAGTTATTAAGAATTACTGCGTTTTAAATTATTACTTTATTCTTTCAGTGAAAAAACTGTCCAGTCTCAAGAAAGAGACAAAAATGGACAGCCACTGCTCCTCCTCAAAGGATCAACTATTAGCGTTCGCAGTTTTGGGCAGCTGTCTCATTTACTCTCTGTTGCTGGGAAAAAAAGACTAAAAGAAGCACAGGCATGTCTTGAAGGTATTCTGTAATAAATAATAACTTTATTGTCACTTTGAATGTACACTAATTGGCATACATTAAAATGAAATTTTGTTGCACGTTCTCTGAAAACCTGGATATTTCTGAATTACGTGATGATTTAATATGCCTTTTCTCATTCTTGCCTTGTTTGGCCTTGTTCTATTTCCGTAATTAATTCAGAAGGAACTTGTTGCTAGTCAAATCTGGAAGAGATAATTTATCATGATTCAAAATCAAAAGTAGGCTATATAATGCTAAAATTAGATGTTTTACAGCTAATGAGATAATTTTTCATCCAAATTCATAAATATTTATTTGTAATTAATCAAGACTTTCAATAATATGTGTAATATGAATAACTTATAGCCAACAGAGATCCCATTGTGAAAATCCTTGGCCCTGGATATGGAACAATTGAAGGAGAGGATTTGTCCATGCTTCGTTTACTAGACAAAATTAAAAAGGATGATGCATCGGACAATGAAATTAAAATGAAAATTTCCCTACTACTTCAGCAATTGGATATGCAGTTGCTGAACAGCTCGCTGAAACAGATATCACAGTGAGTCTATTTCAGATAGTATTTGTTTATCTAAAATGAATTATGTCCCTCTCAGAGGGCAAATCTCATACTTTTACATTTTTTAAAATAAGTTTTATGTCCTATGTTAATCTGAAATCTAAGCCTAATTTTTGATAGTTTCCTGTTTGCCCAACAGCCCTTGTATACTGTTTCCCAATCCAAGTGGTCCAGGCCTGTGTATGAGAATTTCTGTCTTAAAGCTAATTAGCCAAGCAGTTATAGTCTTTCTGTGGAATATGGAATTGCTTTGAAAAATAAACCCAGCATATTCTTTAATTGAATCTTTAAATGTTAGAATGTAATTAATTTATTCTAATTACAGAGAAGTGAGATTAACTCCAACTGCTGTGAAAAATGAAGTAGAATTGCTTAAGCATTTCTCTGGGACGATGGAAGATGCAGTCCTTGAATCACTAGAATATTTATCAGGTTCAAATTGTGTTTTTTATTCTTATTATTTTTTAAAAAATGTATATTAAATGCAGAATAAAAGATAGGCTGTCAAACCTTTTGGGTTTATGATGATAATGCAGAATTTGATAAATTGAAAGGAGTCCCACCGTAAACTGACTTTGTTAGGGAAGAGGGAAGTTAACAACATATATCTATTTATACTTACTATTTATAACTTTTAAATCCACTTCTACAGAGTGTCACAGGGAAAATTGCTACCTACACAGTTTTAACCTTTCTAGGTTATAGAGATATTATGACATCTAAGTATATTTTCCAAGGCTTTCTTTGCTACCTTACAACTGCTAATCTGTGGCATATTTTGTGATTGCTTGGTTCCTTTATTTTTTGATAGTTGATCCTAAAAGGCAGAAATTGTCAGTGATTTCAATATTTTCACAACCAATTCTAAGGATGGTTGCTATACCTGTTGTCATTTATTTCCGTTTGTAGCCTCTCCCCCCCCCCCAACTCATACTTGTCTCTGGACTGTGCCACAGTTAAAAACACAAAGCCAAACAACGACATAATTAAAACAAAACTATTAAAATATGGTTACAATGATTACAATCTTAATATAAACTAGGAAAACTTACGGACAATGTAGCCATGTAATGCGCTCCACACTTCCATGGATCCCCAGACCTGATGACTTCACCCAGTATCTTTATGGTTGATGTTAAATAGGAATAGAGAGAATACCAAGCCTGGTAGCACACCACATAGTAGGGATGAGGGAATAATCTCTTATAAATACTGACTGGAACCTGCCTTGAAGAAAGAGAACCAGCATAAGGCCACACTTGGAATACTGCATCCAGTTTTGGTCACCACGATGTAAAAAAGATGTTGAGACTCTAGAAAGAGTACAGAGAAGAGCAACAAAGATGATTAGGGGACTGGAGGCTAAAACATATAAGGAACGGTTGCGAGAATTGGGTATGTCTCGTTTAACGAAGAGAAGGACAAGGGGGGACATGATAGCAGTATTCCAATATCTCAGGGGCTGCCATCAAGAAGAGGGACTTAAGCTATTTTCCAAAGCACCTGAAGGCAGGACACGAAGCAACGGGTGGAAACTCATCAAGGAGAGAAGCAACCTAGAACTAAGGAGAAACTTCCTGACAGTGAGAACAATTAATCAGTGGAACAGCTTGCCTCCAGAAGCAGTAAATGCTCCAACACTGGAAGTTTGTAAGAAGAGACTGGACAGCCATTTGTCCGAAATGGTGTAGGGTTTCCTGCCCGAGCAGGGGGTTGGACTAGATGACCTCCAAGGTCCCTTCCAACTTTACTATTATTATTATTATTATAATATGGTGCCGCCCACTTCCAGCTCCTGCTAAAGATTGATGATATTGAAAGCTACTGATAGGATAGATGCACAACCTCTATCTTGTTCTCACTGGAGGTCATTGTTGATGACCTATTTACCACTTTTTGTGTGTGTGTTTTGGAATCAGTGTTAACTTTTGGCAACTGCCTGGGCAACTCCGTTGACAGAGAGTGACTAGCCCAAGGTCATCAAGTTGGCTTTGTGCCTAAATTGTAACTAGAATTCATGGTCTTACAGTTTCTATCTTGCTGCCTTAACCACTATATGAAACTGGCTCTCTTTTTTAGTAATCTGCACTGACTGAATATGAAATATTTCATTTGCACTAACATCACAGTGGAAGTTTATTTATTACCCTTTTTCCTCTATCGGGTAAATTAAAGTGGGCTAAAACATTGCTCTTGTTTTTTTAGACTATGAATTCTTCAATGGATGCCGTGCCCCACCTTGGAGACAAGTACATGGGGAAATTTGTTATTTATCAATTAAACCACGTGACACAGATATTATGTTTGTTACTTGTAGCACAGCAGGAGTATTCTTAAATGGAGTAAGTAATTACATTCACAAACAAAGCTTCATGACTTTTATTTCAGAGATTGCACATATGATCTAAAACTGTTAGGCTACTTGGAAGTCAATAACATAAATATCTTTCTTTTAATAAGACATTCAAATACATAATTAGCTTAGTTTTCAATTTTTACACCAGAATAATTTTGTAGTAATGTGCACCTACATTCCATTCCTGCTGTTCCTTTATACTGAATTATGCTATTTTTATTCTAGTTATGAATTAGAATACAAATTGTTTTCTTTTATTGTAGCACTTGTGATTGTGAACTGGATCACTATTATGCATACAGTGTAATAATACAACATTTTAAATATAATGAGCTTTAATACTGCTGAGAGAAATAAGGATTATAATTATACGATTGTATTGAAACAAGAAAATAAATAATATTGAAAGTAATATGATATGGATAGCTTCACTCACTTTAAATTTTAAGAGACATTTCAGAACAGAATGGATTGAAGGTTGCAATATGTAAACAACCTGGAAATAAGTTCCATTAAATTCAGTGTAACTTACTAGGAATGAGTATAACTTATGTTTCTGAGAAATCTGTGGAACAGTTTAAAACTACATAAAACTTGGTTTTCTTATAGGGAAGAAGCAATGAGAGAGATGAAATTGATTATGAGAGGAAGAGTGACATACATAAAGATCTAGTCACATTTTTAAGAGAACGATCAGCAGCATTTACAGAAAATATGGCTAAACAGGTATGCATTTCTTGTTATTATACTTTTAGTTATACTTCTAGTTATCAACCATAATGTGAACAGCTCTTAGTTCTTTTTATGTGACTTTGTCTGTATCTTATTTTGGTTCGATCTGTTTATGCAGTATATATTTATACATGCACACATTCAAACACACATTGGCCAAGTTCACACATATTAAGTCACAGTCTGGGCTGTTCGGTTTATTAAGTTGTGTGAAAGTTGGATTAAATGCAGGGAGACTTAGATTCTAATCTACCCTCATCAGTGGAACTCACAGAGTGACTTTAGGTTAATGACTCTTTCTCAGACCTCATACAAGATTGTGGGGAAAAAACATCTGTAGAGAACACTATGTGAACTTGAACTCAGTACCCCCCAAAATGGCATGTAAATCCAATAAAGCATTGTTAAATAACCAGGGTTCAATATTACATGTAAGGCCACCACTGGTTTCTTCGACTAAGTTCTTTTGGTAATTTTCAGTATATAGAGACAAATTTTAATTATTTCAGGAACATTGCCCAGAATTATTAAATCTGGCTGATATTTAAATTCTGCTAAAGAAGTACACAACAAGTCATTGGTGTATTATAGACTGCATTATTTGTGCTTTCATAAACATGAACACAGTGGTCAAAAATTATATTTCAACATTTATTTAAATAATCTAATGCTAAACTAAGTCACTTAGAAGTGAGAATAGAGTGGGTAATATAAGAGATTATGAGAAGCTTTGTAGAAAAATGGAACTATTTTTTGATGATGAAAATCATTGGTAAATACAATCCTCATTTCATTATCAAAACCCAAATGTAACAAAGTATTTTGAATGAAATTATTAGGAATCAGTTTTTAAATATTTTATCTATAATTTTTTTTCATTTGTGCATGAACCTTAGAAAATATCTATGGCTGGCTCAGGAATTTATCTATAAGTCTGGAATTTTGCCAATAAATTTATTTCCTAAATCTTTAGCACACTTATTTGGAAGCTGTTTGATTTTAATGGAACTTATTCCAAGCTTAGGACTGCAGCAGTTGGCAAAAAGTCTCTGCTCATCTTTCTACACATGTTTTTCCTTTAAGCAGTAGTATAATTTTAAAGCAGGAAAATATCATATTTTAACAAAAAAAGGTCAACTGTCTTTGACAAAGCTTTAAATAATCAGAACCATTCCTCTTTCTAACTTCATCTCTTATGATTTGAATAAAAAGAATATTCATTATTTTACAATTTTCTTTGATTTCAACGTTAGGAGTACTTCAAGCTGACACAGCACATATTGCTGTTACAATGTAGTAGCTCTAGTTTTTAAATATGGCAAATCAGAATAATATTTTTAATAAAAGATAGCAGTTATAATGGTATTTATGGCAAAATATTTTCTTCATATTTTTAGAGGTTGCATTTTATAGGAATATTCATTGCAAGTAAGCTAAAAAATGGTTAAGTTTTGAAGTAAGGGAATAAAATATCATCTGTCATAATCTATAGAGAAATAATGACATCAATAAATAAAAGGAGTGTTTCATAGACCATGAAAATCCTGTTGAAAGTGTTTGGATAAGTGATAAGAAAAATAAAATTCATGCAGTAGTAAGGATTTGTTGTAGACCTGGACAAGCAGAAAGTACAGATGAGGTGTAGTGTGTAAAATGACTAAAAATTTAAAGGAGCTCATAATTTTGACAATGGGAGATTTAAACTTCCCTGACATCTGCTAGAAATGTAACTCTGCCAAAAGTCAGAAGTTCAACAGATTTGTGTCCTTTCTTGTTGACAACTTTATTTGTTAAAATATGGAAGAAGGAATAAGGATTTACTATCCCAAATCTAATATTTACTAATAGATAGAAATTTGTTGAATAATTGAGGAATCTGGGGTTGTTGTCTTTGATTTCATGATAGCGAGGGGAGGAAGAAGAGTCTGACTTGTATGCTGAGCTTCAAAATAATAAATTTCTAATTAATAATAATAATAATTAATAATAATAATAAAGTTGGAAGAGACCTTGGAGGTCATCTGGTCCAACCCCCTGCTCAGGCAGGAAACCCTATACTATTTCAGACAAATGGCTGTCCAGTCTCTTCTTAAAAACTTCCAGTGTTGGAGCATTCACCGCTTCTGGATGCAGGTTGTTCCATTGGTTAATTGTTCTAACTGTTAGGAAGTTTCTCCTTAGTTCTAGGTTGCTTCTCTCCTTGATTAGTTTCCATCCATTGCTTCTCGTCCTGCCTTCAGGTGCCTTGGAAAATAGCTTGACTCCCTCTTCTTTGTGTCAGCCCCTGAGATATTGGAACACTGCTATCATGTCCCCCCTCGTCCTTCTCTTCATTAAACTAGACATTCCCAATTCCAGCAGCCGTTCCTTATATGCTTTAGCCTCCAATCCCCTAATCATCTTTGTTGCTCTTCTCTGTACTCTTTCTAGAGTCTTAACATCTTTTTTACATCGTGGTGACCAAAACTGGATGCAGTATCCCAAGTGTGGCCTTACTAAGGCATTGTAAAGTGGTATTAATACTTCACGTGATCTTGATTCTATCCCTCTGTTTCAATAAATTTAAACAGATGGTAGGCCAGTTTTGATGTCTTTACATCCTGAAAAAAAAAGTGTATTAGGGAGGGAGATCCTATAAAACATGATAGTACAGTATAGTCATATGTGAAAGAAAAATGAAAGATATCTATTGGGACCATTCTGAATATACATAGTGCTTTTCAAATTGATGCAAAGAAAAAGACTTGTATAGCAAATGTCCAGGGAGTGTTCATTCAAAAAAGGATACAAAGCAGTTGCCAAGTTTGGTAGGGATTGAATCAAAAAACGTAAAGTGAAGAAATGCCCCAAAGAACTCAGAAAACATTTTCAGGAACATCAGAAAGAAATGATTGGTAACAGGTGATGACAAGAAGGAAGCATTCTTAATTCATCTTTTATATCTGCTCTAAGAAGGGAAACAAATCTTTAGCTGGCCTCACTACCAATAGAGGAACTCAGATTAATCAAGAAAAAGGTAAAAGCTTCCCCCTTCCCCCCAGGAGAATGGCAGAACCCGAAAAGAATAAGAAATCCCATGCACCCAGAACATAGGGTTCTGACAGGAGGTTTAAGATTTTAATAGCAAAGTGACTGGTTATCTACATAAATATCTGCTATGTAGTTCATATAGCAAAAGTTATTTAATATTAATATATTTATTTTCAAACCATTAATTAGGATTTTAGTTAATAAGTTTATTTCTTAAAATACAGAATCAAGTTTATATTTTTTAATCAAAAGTTTTATTTTGTTTCATTATGATTATCTTTTTTAAAATCAAGAATTGTGATTGACAACTTTTATATGCTAAGAAAATCAAACTACCTAGCTATCCTCTGATTTACTAATTTTAGCATGTTTTACTCATTTAGAAATATGATTTTTCCTAAACATTTTCATCTCTTATTAGAAATACACATTTTTTGATGAACCAAAGTATGAAAAGCATTATCAGCATATGGAAGCAGTTGAGGCAGATGAATATGGCCAAGCCCCAAAATTTTACGACTATGCAGAAAAGAATGTTTTTGAAAAGCCTAAGAGTCCTCTTGTAAAAAGTAAAACTCCTGACAGCAAGAAATTAGAACCATCTCTTAAGTGGAAGACTACAACAGGCACTCGAGAGTATGTAATTCTTTTAGATTTCCTGACAAATATAATTAATTAACCTGAATTTTTGCAGCGTAATATTGTTATCACTATTTTTTTAAAAAAAATTGAAACTGAACAAATTTAAATTTGCTATAATTTAAATTCTTTATTTAAATAAATTGTGTTTTCTAAAAATATTATTTTTCCTTATTTTGTGACTTCTCAGCAATTAGTAAAGTTTTGTATTCAAATCATATTTCTTCCATTTAAGTACATATCCCATAAGCAGACACAGGATTTACAAATGTGGGTAGGAATAACTGTATATGTAGAATTTAGAATGGAACATTTAGGATCCAAGAGGTGAGCTTGTGGCTCCAAATTTTCATATTTGACAAGCAATTTAATGACACCTTGAAATTTTAGTGCTTTGTGATTGACCAGTCTAGCTGGTTGTTTCATTTATATCGTATTGTCTTTTCACATATATGTTGATTTCTCTCTCTCCATCCCTTTTATTAAGGAGCAAGACTGAGAAGTATAACTGACCTTCCCAAGACAATAGTGATTTTAACTTTGCTTCCAAGAAACTGAAATTCTAATGATTATACCATAACAGGTTCTTTACCAGTTACCATTTCACACAAAGAACAGAATATGTGCAGATAATACTGGCAATATTTTGTTCAAACAGCAAGAGTAATGTTGATAATTGGTGACTATTCATAAGCTAGGTTGAGATTCCACCCAAAACCAGTCAAAGCAGAAGACAGAAGGAACAAGTGGCTTGGTCTACAAGCTCAAAAAAGAATCTCTGAATCAGAGTCACTGGGAACTGGGTGGCATATAAATTTAATAAATTATTTGTGGTTGGTCACATAGATGAAGATAATTGAGACATGTGACATTTTTTCACTGGATCTCTGAAATGTTCTAATTCCATTTTCATGATTGGTAATATATACAGCATAAATAAAAAAAATAAAAACCAACTCTAGAAGCCCAACAACAGTAAAATTCAAATGTATTGCTATCAGTTGTATAAGTTACAAGATAATTAAGTAAATAACTCTTAATTGTGTTACAGTTATGCAAAGTATTAGATAATTGAGCCTTTTAAAATAAAACTTTTAATAAATTCAATATAATCTAGGACTATTAGGACTGACATGTCATAAAGAATTCAGGTAGAGGACAGAGGCAGATCTGTTGAGCTCCAGTCTCTAAAGTCTGCATACCTATGGTCTGGGAGTTATAGGAGGTTTTGAGGGCCTCAGTTCAATCTAGACCAACTTGTATGCATTTGAAAAAAGGAATGTAGAGGATTAATATAGCAAGTCTTCTGATAAAAAGCACCGTTCAGAGATTTTAGCACAATCACATTTTGTCTATGATATCCAACTAGTTTGCTTAATGGAACAAATATTCTGTACATACTGCACATAAAAAAGTAGAGGTAGTCGCTGACTTACAGCCACAACTGAACCCAAAATTTACGTTGCTGTGCAAGACATGAGTTTTGCGCCATTTTATGACCTTTCTTGCCACAGTTATTAAGTGAATCACTGCAATTGTTAAGTTAGTAATATGGTTGTTAAATGAATCTGGCTTCCCCATTGACTGCTTGCCTGAAGGTTGCAAAAGTTGATCACATAGTCTTGGGACACAGCAACTGTCACAAATATGAAACAGTTGCCAAGCATCCAAATTTTGATCACATGACTATGGGAACACTGCAATGGTTGCGTGAAAAACATAAGTCCATTTTTTCCAGTACTGTTGAAACTTTGAATGGTCACTAAATGAATGGTTGTAAATTGAGGACTACCTGTATTACAACATTTAATTATGTGTGCAATAGATTTTCACTGTGATAGTATTTTTGGCATCAGTGATCATCAGTTGTAACTGCCTATCAGCAAATTCAAGAAAGATCACACAAAGGTTGTATAATATGTGCTTGTAACTCTTATCAGAAATATATTACTTATTGCAACAATTGCAATAGTTATCTGTACACGTTGTGAATTGCACCATGAACTGAAATGCACTACAGTATTAGAACATTACTATTTTCATTGTAGCTCTTGCCCAGGTTCACACAAATGTCTGTTAAAAGTAATTTTGAAAAGTCAAATCAATATCTGCACTTAAAAAAAATGTTTAAAGAAGAAAAGAATCTGAGTCTGCTTTTAATATCAAAATGCCATGACCACAATCCAAAAGAGAATTAACTGTGCTTAGGTCCATTGAAATCATTAGGTTTATTCTTTGCTGCACTTAACTAAGCTGAATTATGGCCCCTTTATAATTCTAGATTCAGCAAATTTTGCTGATAATTTGTGATGACATCAGTTCTTTATGCTTCTTTAACTAATTATTCAATCTAAATGGTATGACATTAATCAGTTTTAGCCTTTAATGGACTTAGTTCAGAAATTAGAACATTTATTATATATTCATTATATCCTTAATTGTCAATGAACAATGTTAAATCTTTTTAGAAGCAAATCAGCAAGAAAATCCGATGAAAAAGAAATCAAGCATGCCACGCCAGAAAGCAAAAAAAGATCCAGTGGAACACCAACTGCCTCTCTTAAAAGGTACACAGTTTTAATAATGCATAGCTTTCTTTTGCTTGAATTAAAAGCACAATTTTTCAACAGGAACAAGATAACAAGAAATGATTTCAGCGTCTCAAATGAGCAAACTGAAATGGTTAAATTGATGGATTTATTTAAGGTTTTTTTTTTACTATTTTTATGTGCAGGAGTCTGCAAAATCAGTGTTAGTCTCAGATATGAATCTTACTTATTAAGTTTTCGAATGGAAAATTTTCTGGTGTTCCCACTTCTCTGCATGACCAAACAGGGAACTCCCAAGCTGAAAATATAAACCTGTTGGTTCTGGCAGAATTGTGTTATATTTGCATCTGCTACCATTTTTCCAATCACAGACAGAGAAATAATGATTGCTTGGCTTATTGTTCTGGCTCTTAATAGACATTTCCTTAGCTCACATTTCTTAAGCAGTATACAGGAACAGATCTCAGTTTTGAACAGTGTGCCCTGAAATTTAAATACCCATTTGGAGAGGTTTTTGTATTGCTTTGTTTTTATTTTTAGTAATCTCGCTTTCTCTCTTCTTCTGTGCTCTGGGACCAAGTTAGTATCAAAATCTGAAAAGCAAACTAATACATCCATTCCAAGAACCTTCATAGTTAGTCACATTGTTTCTCCAATTTCACAGTATTCCATCAGCAGAAAATCGTTCAGGTTAAAACAAATGATTTTAATTTTTTTCTACTCTGTGTCATTTAAGTGGATTATGTAAATTTAGATAATTTGTTTATAAATTAAGAACTGATATCTATTAATGAGGATAATAATGCACAGTTTTGCATGCTAATTTTATAAAATAATAGCATAGTACAGTGAGAACCTATTACATATGATATATAGGTTACATATAATGTCTTCTGATCATTTTTTTAATTATTACTATGTGGCAAAAGATTGTTCCAAATATAATTGAAACCATGAAGGACTTTATCCTTCTTCTTTTACAAGCTGTTTTTATACTGAACATTGCACATATATTAATTCTCCAGTAGTTCCAGATGAAGAAGAAAACATACATTTAGCTTCAGAGATAAGGTACTTAGCTTTGGAAAATTGTTCAAAAGGAAAAAAAAAGGCCTTTGGAAAACGAGTCAATCCATTTCCCAAATTCTTCTACAATTGTACTAAAAATCAAAAATCAAAACTGGAAATGTTTTAACATTTAGTTTGTTCATATGAGATAATAATCCAGTCTCTCCAATTTCATCTCTTCTCCATGTGGAATGGAGTAATAATACTGATCTATCTTATACTTTCTTAACAGTGTTGCAGTAATTCAGGTAATTCAGAAAAATTATTTCACTCTGTTGTTCAATTGATATAATATATTACTCTGGGCAACTAACAGGAAATAAAAACACAATATATACCTTGGTGTTCAGAAGAAAGTGATTCAGCTGAATAAATGGTTTCTGATTAAATAGATGCTAGTTTCCTTTATGAATTGTATGCAATTAAAAATGATTTATGAAATATGAGAACAAATGCATAGCACTTCTTTAAAACAGTGGAAGTATTTTTCCAACAGCAAAAGTCATATGTAGCTATTTTAATGAAATGTTTTAAAGACACAATTATATTAATAAGTTGGGTCATTAAAATGCTGCATTTTGTATCATGTTTTCTGACTTGGAAAACTGAAAAAAGATATTTTTTTAAAAGATGCTGCAATCATCAGTGGAACAACTTGTCTCCAAAAGTTATGGGTGCTCCAACACTGGAGGTTTTTAAAAAGAGATAATAATAATAATAATAATAATAATAATAATAATAATAATAATAATAATAATAATAATAATAGTCAGCAGCAGCAGCAGCAGCACACTGAAGTCAAGAAAAAGATTAGAGGTGAATACATCAAGAGAGTGAAGAAGATCGTAAAGTCCAAACTCAATGGAGGAAATACCATAAAGGCAATCAACACCTGGGCAATTCCAATCATTAGGTACACAGCTGGAATAGTGGACTGGACTCAAGAAGAACTAAAAGCAATGGATAGGAAGACCAGAAAAATAATGATAATGAATCATGCCCTTCATCCACGCAGTGACATTCACAGACTTTATCTACCAAGGCAAATAAGTGGGCGTGGGATGCTACAAGTACATCAGATGGTTGAAGAAGAAAAAATGGCTTTGGAAGAATATCTGAAGAACAATGATGAAGATGCACTGAAATTAGTATATCAGGAAGGCTTACTGACTACTGGAGAGACCAAACTGGCCTACAAAAAAGACCAAATGAAGAACAGAATAGAGGCATGGGAAGACAAAGCACTACATGGCCAATACATTAAAAAAAAATAGCTGGGAAAGCAGCTGGCTAAGAGCAGGAAAATTGAAGATAGAGAGCGAGGGACTAATTCTGGCTGCACAAGACCAAGCCTTAAGGACAAATGCATATAAAGTCAAAATTGAGAAGACAGCAACAGACAGTAAGTGCTGCCTATGCAAAGAAGCTGAAGAAACAGTGGACCACCTGGTAAGCTGTTGCAAGAAGATTGCACAGACTGACTACAAGCAACGGCATGATAAAGTAGCAACAATGGTGCATTGGAAGATCTGCAAAAAATAACATTTGCCTGTAAGCAAAAACTGATGGGATCATAAAATAGAGAAAGTCATAGAAAATGATAAAATTAAACTGCTCTGGGACTTCAGAATTCAAACAGACAAGCACCTGCAACATAATACCCCAGACTTAACAATTGTCGATAAGAAAGACAAAAAAGTCTGGATAGTGGATATGGCAGTGCCTGGAGACAGCAGAATAGACGAGAAAGAACTGGAGAAGATAACAAAATACAAAGACCTACAAATAGAAATAGAAAGACTGTGGCAAAAGAAGTCATAGTTGCCTTGGGTGCAATCCCAAAACAACTGGAGCACCACGTGAACACCATTGGCATTGACAAATTCGCTATTAGTCAATTGCAAAAGGCTGCCTTACTAGGAACTACTTCCATCCTGCGATGATACCTGTAATACTATCAAACATCCACATCTGCCTATCCTAGGTCCTGGGTAAGGACTTGATAGGTAGACAAAATGCCAAATCCAGTCTGAACATCTGGCTGACTGTGTGATGATCCATCATCATCATCATCATAATAATAATAACAACAACAACAACAACAACAACAACAACCCCCAGTGAGGCACTACCTTGATGTGGTTGTGGGGCTTGTGTACTCTGAGGAAGATGAGAGCTATGCCAGAGGTTCAACCATACTGGACAGGTCTCATCAGAGGAGTCAGACAAAGAGTGTCTCTCCCATAAAAAATATGGTGAGACGTAAATTGCAGAATGCCATACCGGCTCGGATGTCGCCCGGGTTAACAAGGTCCGTGCTAGATATTGGAGTTCCTGGATATCTGGTGAAAAATGGGTTACAGGACTCAGGACTGTTGGCTGAGCAACCAGGGCCAGCAGCTGCAGAACTACTGGAAGAAAAGGTCTCTACCCGTCGCAGATACACAGTGATTGAAAACAAAGAAATAATGATCTGTTACTACAGATCAAGTCCAACAAGAAGTGGATATCTAAAATGAATGCACCAGTTCTGGAAAGAACAACATCCAAAATCAGAAATAACAGAACAGAGACTAGCAGATCAACGCCGATTTATAATACGAAATAAAGTATTCACAGAAACAGAAATTGGACGAACTGCAAAAGTTTACCCAGGGCAAAGAAATCAAAGCCTTACCAGAAGTAATTCAGAATGTAGAGGCAAGCCAGGGGGAGTTGGCAGTGAAGGAATTCAGCAGAGATATACAACTGTTCTCATTTGGAAACCAGGCACCTCTTCCTCAGGAAGAACAAAACCCTCTAACTAAAGAAATAAAAGAATTGAAACAAAGAATAATTGAGTATCTAGAACAGCACAAAAACAACAGAATAAGGCTGCCTGCATTGAAGCTTGTTCCAAAGAAATAGCTAGCACAAGCATTAAAAGATGCAAATACTGCAATAACAAGTATAAGCACCAATTCACTGCAAGAAACAAACCAACTAATGTACAGCAGAGCTGCAGTTATAACTGAATACCTGAGATGCAAAATCAGCAAAGAAGAAAAACAAACAAACAGTGCACCAGAAAAATGGAAGGTTAGACTAGAAAATAAGATCAGCAAGTTAAGATCACATGCAAGCAAGCTAGAACAGATGAAAGAAAAGAAGCTGAAGAACAAGAAGACCAAAGAATACCTAATCAAAAAATACCACTTAGAAACAAGGAAGATCAAGGAAGCACTGGAAATAATAAAGCAACAAATAACAGCTATAGCCAGGAAAATTAGTAGATATGAAGCTCAAATTGCAAACTATAGGCAGAACCTCCAATTTCAATCCAATCAGAAACGTTTCTACCAATCCATCAATGGAGAAACTGCAATGAATCAGTCAGTACCTGACAAGGAAGAAACAGTGCAGTTCTAGAAGTAGATATGGGATAACCCAAAGAAATACAACAAGGATGCGGCTTGGTTAAAAGAGGTGGATGCAAATAAAACAGAAGTTGAAATGAAAGAACTAGTAATAACAACAAAAATGGTAGAAAAAAGAGCAAAGAAAATCAAAAATTGGTCAGCACCAGGTGAAGATGAACTGCATGGGTTTTGGTTGAAACATCTAACTGTTATACACCCACTCATTGCCAAGCAGTTCAACAATATACTACAAGGAGGAGAAATTGAAAAGTGGCTAACAACTGGGAAAACCTACCTAATAATGAAAAATCCAGCAAAAGGGGCAACACCAGGCAACTACAGGCCAATTACCTGCTTACCAACAACTTTCAAATTACTAACTGGTGTGGTAGCTGATGCAGTACAACAGCATCTAGTTGAAAACAATCTCTTTCCACCTGAGCAGAAAGGAAACCGCCCCAATAGCAGAGGAACAAAAGATCAACTCCTAATAGACAAAATGATCTTGGAAAACTGCAAGAGAAGGAAGACCAACCTGAATGTGGCATGGATTGACTACAAAAAGGCATTTGACTCTCTGCCACATGACTGGATAATCAAGTGCCTAGAAATAACAGGAGTCAGTAGAAACATCAGAAAATTTGTGCAAAGATCGATGGCACAATGGAAGACACAGTTGCAGATCAATGGTGAGAGGCTGGGAGAGGTTAATATCAAGAGAGGAATATTTCAAGGAGATTCATTATCACCATTACTATTTGTTATTGCACTGTTTCCTCTGTCAACAATACTGAATAACTCAGGACATGGCTATCAAACATCAAAAACATCTGCCAGACTATCCCACCTCCTTTACATGGATGATCTGAAGCTGTATGGAAAAACATCATCTGAAATAGAATCGCTGCTCAACACTGTCCGTATATATAGCCAAGATATTGTAATGGAGTTTGGCTTGGACAAATGTGCCACACTTACTATCAAACAAGGAAAAGTAGTGAAAACTGAAGGAATCAAGATGCCCCACGAAAATAACATTAAGAGTCTGGATGAGGAAGAGTACTACAAATACTTGGGTATCCTTCAAGCTGACAACCTCAAGCACACTGAAGCCAAGAAAAAGATTAGAGGTGAATACATCAAGAGAGTGAAAAAGATCGTAAAGTCCAAACTCAATGGAGGAAATACCATAAAGGCAATCAACACCTGGGCAATTCCAGTCATTAGGTACACAGCTGGAATAGTGGACTGGACTCAAGCAGAACTAAAAGCAATGGATAGTAAGACCAGAAAAATAATGACAATAAATCATACCCTTCATCCACGCAGTGACATTGACAGACTTTATCTACCAAAGCAAATAGGTGGGCGTGGAATGGTACAAGCACATCAGACGGTTGAAGAAGAAGAAATGGCTTTGGAAGAATATCTGAAGAACAATGATGAAGATGCACTGAAATTAGTATATCAGGAAGGCTTACTGACTACTGGAGAGACCAAACTGGCCTACAAGAAAGACCAAATGAGGAACAGAATAGAGGCATGGGAAGACAAAGCACTACATGGCCAATACATTAAAAAAATAGCTGGGAAAGCAGATAATAACCCTGGCAATGGCTAAGAGCAGGAAAATTGAAGAAAGAGACCGAGGGACTAATTCTGGCTGCACAAGACAAGCCTTAAGGACAAATGCATATAAAGTCAAAACTGAGAAGACAGCAACAGACAGTAAGTGCCGCCTATGCAAAGAAGCTGAAGAAACAGTGGACCACCTGGTAAGCTGTTGTAAGAAGATTGCACAGACTGATTACAAGCAGCGGCATGACAAAGTAGCAACAATGGTGCATTGGAAGATCTGCAAAAAATATCATTTGCCTGTAAGCAAAAACTGGTGGGATCATAAAATAGAGAAAGTCATAGAAAATGATAAAATTAAACTGCTCTGGGACTTCAGAATTCAAACAGACAAGCACCTGCAACATAACACCCCAGACTTAACAATTGTCGATAAGAAAGACAAAAAAGTCTGGATAGTGGATGTGGCAGTGCCTGGAGACAGCAGAATAGACGAGAAAGAACTGGAGAAGATAACAAAATACAAAGACCTACAAATAGAAATAGAAAGACTGTGGCAAAAGCAAGCAAGGGTAGTACCAATAGTCATAGGCTCCTTGGGTGCAATCCCAAAACAACTGGAGCACCACTTGAACGCCATTGGCATTGACAAATTCGCTATTAGTCAATTGCAAAAGGCGGCCTTATTAGGAACTGCTTCCATCCTGCGACGATACCTGTAATACCATCAAACATCCACATCTGCCTATCCCAGGTCCTGGGTAAGGACTCGATAGGTAGACAAAATGCCAAATCCAGTCTGAACATCTGGCTGACTGTGCGATGAATGCCAAATCCAGTCTGAACATCTGGCTGACTGTGCGATGATCCATAATAATAATAATGATGATGATGATGATGATAATGATATTGGAAGGGACCTTGCCCAGGCAGGAAACCCCATACCATTTCGGACAAATGGCTGTCCAGTCTCTTCTTAAAAACTTCCAGTGTTGGGGCATTCACCACTTCTGGAGGTAGGTTGTTCCATTGGTTAATTGTTCCAACTGTCAGAAAGTTTCTCCTTAATTCTAGGTTGCTTCTCTCCTTGATTAGTTTCCATCCATTGCTTCTTGTCCTGCCTTCAGGCGCCTTGGAAAATAGCTTGACTCTCTCTTCTTTGTGGCAGCCCCTGAAATGTCTGAAATGGTATAGGGTTTCCTGCTTGAACAGGGAGTTGCACTAGAAGACCTCCAAAGTCCCTTCCAGCACTGTTATTCTGTTACTCATATTGTCAACTGTTATGAAGCACATTTACCAATCTTTTTCAATACATACATAGGTCAAATAGATTATTCCCATCTCAATGTGGCTTGCATTAAATTTCTGTCTCTTAATAATTTCAGATTCATATACTTACAGATTGTGCTTTTGTTTTAATGTGTTTATCATTTCTAGCTGTGATTCTCCCTTTCTTGCTCCATTTTTCCTTCTTTTTTGGTTTAGTAAACCTCCACCAAAAATTGAAGATGCAAGTGAAAGTTCTTCTGAGAGTGAAGAAGAGGATGAACAGCCTGAACGCCATCAGGAAATTAATACTGATTTGCCATCAGAATATTGGCAAATTCAAAAATTAGTGAAATATATAAAGGTAAAAAATTAATTTTGAAAAAAGACTGCAAAGAATTTCATTGCTTCTCTTCTAATTAAATTATAAATTCAAAATTATTATTTCAGAATCTCTTCATATTGTTTTGATTTCTCTAATCAGTTTGCATCCTAAAATCTTTTTGAACCTTTTGAACTTTTGTTGTAGTAGATCTATAGAATACCATTTAGTTTAGTTATAACGATATCCTTTCAGCCCAAAATATTGCAAAACAGACAAGTAATCCAGTGGTACCTATTATAAAGTGGCAAAATATTAAATCTTCTAAATTCTGTATTATTTATTGAATTTATATAGATATCCATCTCAATGAAATATCTCTAGCTTCCTTCAAAGTTGTGACATAAGAAAAAAAACAGTAAAAACATAACCTAACAATAAGCATATCAGGTCTCTGTGCATGAAGATTTTGCAACAATCTGGAATTAGGCCCTTCTGATCACATGATATTACCTGGCCAATTTTATTATTATTTTTCATTCTGTTGGGATTTATTTATTGATAGGTCTATAAATTTAAGGTACTACTTATGGCTTTTGTTTTTATATACAATTCCTTGCTGGATTATATTTGTACATATAAACCATGTTATAGAACATAGTACATAGAATAACAGAGTTGGAAGGGATTTTGGAGGTCTTCTAGTCCAACCCCCCACTTGTGTAGGAGATCCTATATCATTCCAGACAAGTGGCTGTCCTGTCTCTTCTTAAAAGACTCTAGTGATGGGGCACCCACAACTTCTGAAGGCAAAGTGTTCCATTGGTTAATTATTTTCACTGTTAGAAAGTTTCTCCTTCGTTCTCTCCTTAATTAGTTTCCATCCATTGTTTCATGTCTTTGGAAAATAGATTATAATTTTGAAAAGAATTTTGAAAATAGGTTATAATTTTGAAATAATATAATTTCAAAAGACTAATTATGAAAGATTTAATCCTACTTTCAGATTTGAATTAAATACCCCAAAGAAGCAGCTTGACTCTTAATAGTTCATGCTTCTGATGTGGCTTTTCTGGTAACTATAGGCACACTAGGTGCAAAAAAACTTTTATAATTTTATTTTTTCATTTATTATATAGTAACATTTTAAAAAAATATTTCCATAAAAACAAGGCTTCACATCGCATCAATTTAATTGCTGTGATGGAAAACAAAAGAATGTAAAAAAAATAGCAAATCCTTTATTTGTTTCATTTTACTGAATTATCCATAAGTTCCTTGTGAAAATGCTATAGAGGAATTTCTATTAAATTTAAATAATACGACATATTTGGAAGACTGGAACAAACAGTAGACTTGTTCTCTCTGGGTGTTTATATAATTAATTCCAGAACACTTCTGCTTGAATATGAGAATATATTAAAATAGCATTGGGTTTTGAGTAAAACAGTATCTTGTATTAATAAGCTAGCAAATAACATACGATGTACCCATGGGTGGTCATTTTGTCTTTTTAACTATTTTTAAAAATGAACCTTAATGTTTGTACTCATTATTTTTAGCTGTTCCATTGTAAATCACTCTGGGCTCCATCAAAAGGAAAACTGGTATACAATTATTATCTTCACAACAATGTAAAATCACAGCTGCCAATTCCATAGCTAGTGTTGGCTTTCCTACACACTGAGTTCTTTCCAAGAACTTAGGATATCATAATGTATCAAAGTAGCATATATATGGATCCAAGTAGATCCAAGTCTGTTGCAATTGAGAGATGGAAATGCACAGATTTTCCAAATGCTGTCCAAGATGTTTTGATATAGCAATTATAACAATAATGTTACTATTATTAACAATCTAATATAAACTCAGAGACAAATTAATAATCTGCAAATGGACACAAATAAAAATGCACATTATGAAGAAAGATCATCTCTTTTCCTCTATAAATGCAATGCAATATATATAATGATTTATTACTCCAAAAATGGCAATAGTTAGGTTGTAATGTCCTTGGAGTTATTCAGTGTTTCTAATTAGGTGATGTATCAGTGAAACTTTCCAAAATAAATGTTTGCCACTTGTTATCTATTTGGATGAAGACCTTCATAATCAAGAAGTAGAAGTGAATTGCTTTAGATTGGCTTACCAAAAAAATAAAATAAAACACAAGACATCTCTTATATACTCCCATAAATGTCAACAGTTACAAAAGACTTTTTAATTTGTTTCATACTTTTGTTGGATGAACTTTTTGAAATAATGTATAATGTTGCTGGATCAAATTAGTTTCTCAGATAACAGCTGGAAAAGTGACTTATGGAAGGGTTGTATTAGAAAGAGTTCTTTTTATGATCTTAAAGATAGAAAATAAGTATCATTCTATCATTAAAGATAGAAAATAAGTATCATTATTCATGAAAAGGAAAAACAAACTTCAAGACATGAAGGGCTACTAGAAGAGGAAAAATGCTCAAAGAAGCCACATTCCATCCAGTTATAGGAACTGAATAAAATAATATTAATTTAATAGTGATTAAAATCACTGTTAAATAAGTGCCTAATTTATAGGGGTGATCTGCCATTTTCATGTGCCAAGACCTATCTGTCGTGTACACAGTCTAATACAGAGAAACATAGAATTGTGCATAAAAATCCTTTCTTCTGAAAGAGATAAAAAAATTGTTTTGGGGACATCCCTATGATCTTGAAGTTCTGATTCTAGATTTTGCCCTTTTGTTTTCCATCATCTATTCACATTGTGAATGAGTTTAATATGACTGACTGTGCTGGGAAGCAATTCTGCCCAATCAAATAGTTGTAGGCTGTGTTGGGGGTTTGCTTTCCTCATAGTTAGATAAGCCAATTTTCCCTAAACCAATCAGCATTCCTCATTTCAGCTAACCAGTAAGAGAATGCAAAGAAAACTGTTTAACCTTACCCTTCCTTCAAACCATCACAATTCTCCTAATAAATCTCAACCTACCCTATGCATAACTTGCTCATAACTTCCCTATCATCATCAGCAGCAGCATCAGGGAGATATTTCTATGATGAGAAGTTATATAAAGGAAGACCACTTGTAAAAAAAGAAAATATGCAAATGCATCATCTGTTGCATATAAAAAATTTCAAGAGTGAAGTGATAATATATCAACAAATAGTAAATATCAACAAATGTATACTGCTGGCAGTATAAATAATATAGATAGAAGTAGGATGGTGAATTTCTACAAGAATTGGCGAGAGAGAACCCAGGAGCTGGAGGGAGAGAAGGATCACTTGCAAAGCTACAGTATTTCAAAGGAATATGAGCTTTTTTCAGATTCAAATAAACCCCACAGACTGAAAAAAAAAATTGGCTCTCAAAGCCAGGCAACATCATTTGATCGGTTCCAAATTGCTTCAAAACCTTCATGCACAGAAATCTGATATGGTTACTGTTAGGTCAAGATGTTACTTTGCTGTTCTCACTGTCATAACTTTGAAGGCTGCTGGAGACATTGGGCCCAGTCCAATATAGGAACTAAGTAGAGTCATGATATCCTACCATACCAAAAGAGAACTTGCCTTAGGTAATACAAAGATGTAGTTTTTGAGGTATCAGTGCAGACTGGGGTTTATGTTCTATTTATGCAGCTGGTGGTGGACATCACAGTCTACCCCACTGCCCCCTGTGTTTGAAAGACAGACTACCAAGCAGCAGATATCAGCTTACCAAAGTCTTACCATTTCCCTGTACAGAAAAAAAGCCCTTGTAAGCTACAAGCCACAACGTTGTAGCTAGATCTCTTTATCCATAGGTCTACTTTATGGACTCAGGGAGTCTTTCATCTAACAGTTACCTGCTAATCACTCCAAAGCCTGCATGCTATCTTTTAGAAATTATTCAACTTGCTGGAATGTATGAATAACATCATTCTTTGAATTTAAGGAGTTTGCTTGCTGGTCTTGCTTGTTCCCTGAAAGCATTGCTCCCCTCATATTTGAATACTCTGTTCATATGGTTTGGTTTTTCTTTAGAAAATCTGTTGGCTTTAGTGCAATTCAGTTGCCCAATTTTTTATTCAAGCTCAGCTGCTTGTTGTTTTCTTGACAGTATGAAACAGTGATGGGTCTTCCCAGATTAGTCTTGTTAAATGTCTTTTGCAGACATTATTTCAGGCCCAGCCATGACCTCACACCCACTTGTGGCAGTTGCAACTCTTGCCAGATACTAAGAGCAGAACTTCCCCAGATTCCTCTCTATTATCTGCTCTATTTTAAGAAGAATTCAGCAGTTTCCTCTGGTGTTTGACATCAAGCAGAAACATGGCCAGGAAATGATGTGCCTTCTATACATTCTGGTCCTAGAGTGGGAGGGAAGGTGGAAGAAAAGAGGTTACTGTTAAAAGATCTATTCAGTGTAGCACCCATGCTGTAGCACCCATGGCTTTCTGTATGCCATGTCCTACAAGTAATGGGTAAAGTATACTTTAAATGTTCCTGTAAAATGAATAGAAGCAATATGGATATTTACCTCCTTTCTAATACTCAGTTCTCTGCTGTTGCGTCCTTGGCGGGAAAACAGACACGAGAAGCAGCTGGAGTTCTCAGGTTCTTTTATTCAGCGTTCAGCTTACAGGAAGATGGCTTCAGCTCAGCCCAAACGCCTCACAGCCTCTTATATAGGCAACTCCCGGGTAAATGGGTTACTTTTCCCGCGCCAGCACCCGCGCATGCGCACGGCGCTGGCGACAGCCTGTCTGGTCCCGGGCAGCTTTGCACCTGCCCGGGACTGCCTGCAAACGCCCGAGCCGTTTGCAAGGCTCGGGACATAACACCCCTTTCCCCCGGGCTAAAACTACTATCAACATACAACATTTATTTTACACGACAATTTGCTCCCCAGTGTTCCCACTGTTTACTGGCTTCTGTCTTGCCAACAATGTTATGTAATCTTCTAGGTACTTAGGAGATTTCTTTGCTCTCTGTGACCTTCTTAGCTCTGGGTTACTGGCATAAGTCCCCTGACTGGAGGGAGGCATGAGCCTGTTCTCTCT